GATGGATGGATGGATGGATGGATGGATAGACATGCAGTGTGAACTGTGGGATCTTGAAATACACAAGTGTATCCCTTTTTAAACTGTGTCCGGTTACTTCAGTTTGCCAGCTGGACTCAAATCAACTTCAAGACATTACAGAGTGTGCATGAATCTGAAACCTTGACATGTAGAATAGCAATGGTGGATTTTTGGTATGCAGAGTGGAGTACAGCAGGGAGGAGGGTCAGCCCAAACAACAAACGCCACTTCTAAAAGTAAACTTCAATTGGTCACAGCAGAACATCTTATAAGCTTAGTGTGACTTGTGGCTGAGCTGCTACAGAACTCTCATTCAATCAATCAATCAAAAATTGTTTAGAGTCACTGATCCTATGAAGAGACATTTTTATTCTAATAGAACTGCTCACATCAAGACTCACAATGCCTCCATCCATAGGACACGAGGGCTCTGAATGAAGATGAAAAATGTGTAAGACAGCAGTCTCCTCTATTAATACTTAAGTGTCAGGTAAACATGTTAATAAGACTTTTCTTATGACATAATGTCTTAATTAACAAAAACACTTTTGTACGCTGATCAAAGATGGTAGCCACTGGCTCATGTGCAATTTAAAAAAAAACCTGCCTATGAAAATAATCAAGTCCATAACAATATTTGCAACAGACTAGCAGAATTGTTTACTAAAGCATTCATCCATCATGGGCTTATTATTATTAGGGTTGTGGAGGGGATTGGAACCTATCCCAGGGTGCTGGGCAGAGCAATATGGCCAAAAATATTTATCACAATATATATTTGAAAAGTTGCGATAACAATATAACTGACGATATAATTGAATTATAATATATTATAATAGGTTAACAAACATAAAATATAACTCCATTACTTTACTAGCGCAAAAAAACCCATCAATTTATTTTTACTTAAACAAGCAGCTGTTTTTATGTGCATTAAAGCTATATAAAAATATAACAATGCAAATGCAAATTCCTTGCTGAAAGTTTAACCAAAAGGCATTTCCAATGGAAATGGGCTGACATATCCTGAGCATAACTATGTATAATATCCACTAACATTAAACTGCAGCGTGCCTAATAATAAGTCAAATAGGTATTTTTTGGACCATAAGGTGCAAGGGATTATAAGGCACATTAACAGAAACAAAGCAGTCAGATAAGTCAAACTTTATTCAACTCATTCTTCTTGCTTCCCCCACTTCTGTACCATTGATTCATGCTGTATTCTATCACAGCTGCTCTATTCCCATGTTGCAGTATACAGGGAGTGCAGAATTATTAGGCAAGTTGTATTTTTGAGGAATAATTTTATTATTGAACAACAACCATGTTCTCAATGAACCCAAAAAACTCATTA